CTCACCAACAAAAAATAAACGTTGCTCCATGTTAGATACTCGTTATTATTGATTCGTGACAATCTGAATCATGATTTGAACATTTTCTTAACTACGCTTTAATGAATTATGCATTTAATAATGAATAAGACGATATGAACAAGAACACGAAAAAACTTTTAAACTCTTTATAAGCAGCATATTTTATTCTAATTAATTCATACCTTATAAAAATATTTTCAAGTAGATATGAAGTTATTTTCATGTTTTTATAATTAATAATATTGCTACGTTCATATATTAAATAAATTTATAAAATCAGAGGATACAGAGAAGATAAAATAAAAGATAAATTCTTTATTTGAATGAGAGATAAGATGAATATTGTTTCTTTATATTTAATTCATATTGATAAAACATTTTATAGTCAAATTGAACTTTGAAACTGTAAATATTGTACTAGCATCTCAAAAATGTTGATCTCGATAATTATCTTCTTATATTTTATATTTACAGTATAAATTTCCATAAATTAAAATAAAATGCTATAAAATTTATCTAATGTTACGTTATTAAACAACATCATGTATGATTCATTTGAATAAATTATTTTCTACATCGTGTAAAAACTTATGTAGACGACTGTAGAATTGAAAGAAAGAACTAAATGAAACGTATGCTCGATAAAAAAATCTTTCAATACAGAATATTTTTATAAAATATCGAATCTATCTATCATTAACCAGATCGATAATTAATGTTATTAATGTAAGCACACGTGTACTCCGAATATACGTCTGATAAAAATGATAAGTGCCTGCAAAAAATATCTACACTTAAATACTATTAACGTGCGTTTTTTTTATGCATATATGTATAATCAATGATAATATGACACACATCTACGTATCTACAATAATATTCAACTATTCATCGCTAAGAATGATCTTGTAAAAAGTTCATAAATGAATTATTAATAACATATGTTTGATATTGCGTACTTAAAAATGATTTGATTCAAATATATGAAACTGTAGAACAGAAATTTTCTTATCTTAAATATGAATATATTAACAACGAATGTAAAAATAAATTTTGATTTCAAATGCGATTACGTAAAAAATAGTAGTATAGGAAATTTTAAACTATAGTTTTATACAAATTAAAAATTTTATACAAATTAATTTGTCAATAACTATGATATATTATATATTATATCTCTATATTTTATATATATATATCTTATATGATATTATATAAATATATTTTATATTAATAAATATTGAGATATAGTTATATTAAATATAATTACACCTATTATTATTATCTTCTTTAAAAAACATATAGCATTTAATTTATACTTAATTGGAATAAATTATTAAAATAAATTATTTAAAATTGAAGATTTATTATTTATTTAATATATTCTATCGATATATTCTATTCCTTTATGAGAAATCTTACTAAACATGATCTCACTTTCAACGAAATTTATATTTATAATAATCATAATTATAAAATGTTATTTTATAAAGTTTGAAAAATCGAACAAAAATTGTTTAATATCTTTAATAAAAATAAATAATATTAACCTTACGTAAAAATATATAAAAATAAATAATATTGTATCTGGAAAATATATATTAAAACGATAAATAAATTATAAAATTTAATATCAATAACTTAAAAAATTAAGAAATGGATTCGAATAAAGCTACAATAATACATGCATATTAATTTTCTAAAACTTTAGTATAAAAAGAATCGAATAATACGACATATTTTCTGTAATAATCAATGCAAGTTTATGTACAAAACATTGAGTTATTTGCTATATAGAAACTAATAGCTTAAATTTATATCTAACTAACCTATATCTTATAACTTATATCTATAAATAAACGAAATTGATAAATAAAATTTATTAAAGATATAATTAATAGTTTATGAAAAAAAGAACTTGAAAAAAATGGAAAAAAATAAATAGAATGTTGTAAACTTACTCAATATTCCAGATAAAATCCCAGATAAAGTTGTCTTCTATGAAATTGTTCGTTGTATCTTCAAATTCTCAGCAATCAACGAATATATAGATAACCGGCATTTGAAGCACAAATCCACAATAATCGTAAAAAAAAAACACTATATTTCACATTTATCTCAATTTACAATTTTCTATGTCCACTATACTTCACAGTTTTATTGCAAGGTTACCGTGTTACTCGCTTTTTATAAACGAACGCATACGATTTCGTGCCATGCGTCTAGTACCAATCTAATATTGCATTTGCGCGCGAGAACAATCACGCGCGTGCGTAGACAAGCCGACATGTTTATATATTCCATCATGTATTTTTCGTTCATATAAATGTCACATGTATGTACATCACGATTAACATTTCAAAATAATGAGACGTTGCACACTCGTTAAGTTGTTAATAAATATTTTTTCCTTGTTTCTGTCACCTTCTTTTATTTTTCATACGTCACGAACTATTTCCCTGGTCCATTGCTGTTCCCATAGTTTCTTGAACGGTCAATCAAACAACTCTTAAACACGATATCTAGTATCACTGTACTAGAAAACACTACGCATGTGGAATGTGAAAATTAAATCGTAGAATCGACGAGAATTAACGAGTAAACACGTCTAGATAGTTCCGCAAAAAACATAACAACGCACATCGAGCTTCCGTCCGCGTGCCGCGCACTTTTGCACACGCGCACTTCAATTGTCTTCTCTCGTCGTCTTTCTCGTGTCCGCGTGTCATTCCATCCTCCTCCTACTTCTGCTTCTCCCCCTCATGTAACGGGAAACAACAGTTCCCCCCATTGGAATATGTTACGGTGCACGTTGACTTTCGTTTTATCTTTGTCGTAAACAATTTTCTGAATTGTTGAATCACACAAGATTATATCAAACTTTTATCGAGAATATTCTCCAGTCTGCTCCACGCGAATCTCCTTTCTTTTTCGATAATTTTTTCTAACATGTATTAGTGTATATGCGAAATGTCACGAAACTATCGCACAATAGTGTGGAGAAATTTGGTGAATCTCCAATGATTGAAACGTGATCGAAATGAGTTATGGAGTATGGTAATATGCAGAGAAGAATCTAGAAACGTGGAAAAATGCAAGTGATACGAATATAACACTACCGATAAATTCGATGTGCACTTGCATGCGGTCCGTAACTTACTAAGAGTGCTGGTAGCAGCGACACGCCGACGAGGTGCATGGTGGCTTGCGGGTACCGGATAGGAGGGGGTACGTCCCTGGCACGGGGAGGAGACATGTTGGGCACTCGGCTGTCAGAAGAGCGAGGGGTCTTTCGTCGAAGAGTGGTGGTTAGATGGATGGAGGTGGCACACGGGTTTAGATGAACATCAAACTTTTACGACTGAAACTATCCGACTGACGCGTAGAGACTCTAAGTACCTACGGCATACATATACATACAGTGTTATCAGTGCAGTGAGAATCTTGTCCATACGAGAAGTACGTTGCGCTTTTAAGTATGTATCATTTATTGTCAGCAAACGATCTCGATGATTAATTAAATATCACCAATATCAACTTCGATATTCAGTTATAAATTTTATAGTTACTTGATTAAAATAAAATTTTGGAAAAATATTGTGATAAATATTGGAAAAAGTAATAGGTTTTCAGATAATGTAAAATTGAAGAACGTATTGCCAATAATTGATCAATAAATCGAATATAATAGTTATATAATCTACGTAAAGTAATCTATATAACATTTTATATTTCTTTATTACTTGTAATATTATGTTATCTATGTTATCTATAGATAATATCTTCTATTTCAAGAAATATAAAATTATTTCGATATTAAAAATTTTTGAAATGATATAATATATATGTATCCATATGTACACATTTAAAATTTTATATAATTATATCATATCAGTAAAAATAAATATATCTATAGTTAAAATCAAAGACTAAATATATAATTTATGTATATTTCTCAATATTTATTGTTGTAATAACATAAAAGTTAATTTTCTTGAATAATAGAAATTCATACACATAACTCATTAACACATACTCATTTATACTATATAAATATATAACAGAATTTATATTTGCATTTTATATTTATATTCGTATTTTGATTCGCGCACCTTCAATGCTGCTGAAGGATCCGGTCTTCAAGAGTTAAAATAAGAAAAAAAAGATGAAACAAACGACCTGAGTGGCAAATACCATTCGAATACTCCACTCTCTTTTTCCAACCACTGTTATCGTCTGCTTAAACTCGCTTTACTTTTCTTCTTATTTCTCATTTAAAAACTCATCAAAAAGTCGTCAAAAAAAGCACTAAAAAATAATATATCCGATATATTATATCAGATGTAGTCCGATCTAAAATTGATCTCAAAAGAAAGAAGAAGAAACTCCAAGAAATAAAAGAATCACGCAACAGATTAATACATCTGTTAAAGAAAATATTAATTTTAAGATAAGATAATATTACTTTATAAACAATACGATGATAATCCGGAAATTATTTTATCAGATGTCATATTTAAAATCAATTTTTTTTACTGTATTTAACTATATTTAAAATAACGAATTATTTTTATATAGCATATGTTATAACCTTATAGCGATCAGATGTTATTCAATGCTAGACATTATAATTCAATATGATGTATATTTAATAATCAATTTAATAATAAATCAACGTTAAACTATATTTGCGTAAATCACAATATGAAATTATTAATTACTTATAGTCATATGAAAGCATGATTCGTTGGCATAGCCGCTATAAAAATGTTTTATGCTTGCATAGCGCATTCCTTGCAACATGTATGGTTGGACAGGTTTGCTAAAAAATGAAAGTCACAACGCTTGTTCGGATTGATATTTTAGCTGCGATATAAAAATGAAAAGAAACAAGTAAGAATTAACCTCTTTTATCTGCTGCTTATTATCTTCAACTACTATTCAAACGTGAAAAGCTGTATGAAATGACACGTTTTCAATTACTTGTCAATTCAATATAATTTGAAAAAATTATAATCTGCAGGTTATATACTATAAATTTATATAGTATATACTATATATTTAACATAGAAATTTCATAAAAATTTATAAATAATTTATATTCTTCACTTTTTAACATAATTACTAACAACTATATTATAATTTAATTTATTATATAGAATATTAATAGCATTAATCATTATATTAAATTTGAATATATTTATTTAATTTATTGTGATTAAATTAATTTTAATTTTATTCTTATTGTATCAAGAAAAGAAAGAAAAAAAGAAAAATAATCATCATCAAATTTTGACCATTTTCTATCTCTATCCTTTTTTATTTTCAGAACAAACCTTCGTTATAACTCTTTAATTATAATTAAATTAATTATAATTAAAGAAAGTGGTTTAATTAAATGTTATGGTAAGAACTATTTGAATAATGAATGAAAAAAAATTATATATACTTTCCATATGCAAAAAAATTTTATGAGGGTTATCTGTTCCCCTCTATAGAATTACTTCAAAAAAATTTATTTCACGCTAAAAGATCTGCATCGTCATGTAAAGTTATCGAAATAAGAAAATATGAAGATACTTCTGGCTATGAACGCATATATTATAAGAAGAAATGCACCACCTGGCTTATAAAAAATTCTTCTTATGTGCGTTTTTAATTACTTCTCGCCAGGTTTCGATTATCTGCTGCGTTTCGGTTTATTCAGCTTCTCCTCCTGATTAAACCGGTTAATCAAGGTCCTACTATATTTGGACATCAGCTACAATTTCATCAAGAGGCGTGTCTTCTTTATAATATGAATATCTATACAAAAAATAAGGAACAATTATTACTATTCATTATGAAAGAACTGAGATACATTAGTGTTGTAAATAATGTATTTAATTAAATAGTATAATGAAATTATCATATCATTGTGATACTCTTCGTAAGAATTTCAAATTAGATCAAAAAATTTAAAAATATTATAACTTTATTAAATATCTATCTATATTTTATAAGAAAATTATCAAAGAATTTTAAGAATAATAATAAATTCTAATTTTTCCCAATTTTGACCGGTTATTCTTTAAAATTGTTGAGTTCTAATTCTAATTTTCATAAAAATTTGATAGCGAAAATATCATGATTGATAATTTACATTAATCGCATGATATCAATTGTAATTAAAAATCTTTAAATAAAATTGTTATATCTATTCAAATCACGTATACGAAATAGGCAAAGATTTTTTTTCTCTTAAATACTTTACTTTGAGCAAAACATTTTGTTTACACCCAATGTGTAAGTATACGTGCGCAAGGATTGACTGTATTTTCCAGGGAATGTATTCTTCCACGACATGTCGTCTCGTTTTATCTCCATGAACGACATTGAAGAGAAAAAGTCAACGAGAACTGAAGCGTCAAGTTATTCGTGTGGGTAGGGTTTATTTTCTGTAGAATTTACACAAATCAGGGTCAATGTCCTGAGGATTAGAGCAAATCGGTTATATGGCCGAGGTGCTCATTGCAGACTCTTAGATCGATCGCTGCCATGCATTGAAATTATTGTTGATCCCAGGAATCCTTGGAATACTAAGTAATCGAAAATAAGCAGAACTTTTATCTAGATTATTATTTAAAGTTTAGTATTTTTTTAACTAGATATTTTTAATTTCGCAATTTCTTAAGTTAATTATTCATCTTATTGATTTGAATATTTTCAAGTAGTAATTATCTTGGATAATTCATTTCGATGTGAAATAATATTTAAAAAATTTTCAAATTTTTATTATGTTATTATGCTTCTATAGTTATTACATTCATAAAAATTATATATAAATTATGCATAAAAAAGATTTTGTTCGCTAGTTGATCATTTAAATGTGAATTATCTTATAACTTGTAATTTTGTAGATCTATTTATAAAGGAAATATTATCACGTGGAAGTAAAATATATAGAAAATGATAAATTCTCTGAGATTCTAAAATATATAATTACAGCATATAAACAGATATATTATTAATTTTATCATATAAAAAAAAATAATAATTATTATAATTATATTTCGCAAAGCTATATATAAGTATATAAAGGTGATTTAGGATCAACCAAAGTTATCTAATGATTAGCAATGATTAATCCTAAATTATTTCGGTACTTGTCGTTTAATATAATGAAATAAATAAATGAAAGAATCAAGAAATGTGAAGGAAACACAGTGAAAATGAAAAAAACCCTCGAGCAATAATGATAAAATTTTATGATAAAACTTAGTTTATTACCCGCTTACAATTTTCATTGTTCATTCGATATTTTATCTATTATCAAAAGTTATGTCTTCGCCGGAAAGTGCAGCTTTACTAATTAAGGATCAATATTACTCAGATGTTTTTATTATTAAATAAAAATTCTTATTCATATTTCAAGAGATATAAGAGATTAATTATGAAATGGTGTATATAAAAATTAAAAAATTTATCCTCTCCTGACAACAATATGTTATTGTTATTATAGAATCAAGAATTTTCTTTACAGAATCATATTTTCTACGTTAAGATCTTAATATCGAAAATACTATTATATAATCTTAGTATCGTAAATGAAATTTATACGTACATCATAAGATGCTGTGATGAAAGATTAAAAGTCTTGTGTACCCGAACAACAAAATACACGATATTGATATTGAACTGATTTTATCAATTTCTATATTACGCCTACTTATAATGGTATTGTAATTAATGACAGTTGGCGTTTTGTAGTCGTAAATAAAACTGCGCAATGATTTGATGACGTGGAATACTGTATTAGACCTAACAAGTTTATACACTGTAGTCTTAAACTGCACTTGGCAACTACGTTTGGCATTTGTCCATCCGCTTTTTACATTTAATTGTATCAATTATATCATTTATATCTTTGTATTATTTTTGGCACTAACTATCGCAGTTATAAAAGGATAGCGGAACACGTCGCTGCCAAAACATTTGGATCATCTTCAATTATTCGACCATTCCTTTTAACGCCGACTTCTGAAAACACGTATGTTGAATAAATACTTTCTGCATAAAGTTACATCGCGATGAATACGCATTAAACATTGCCCGTAATCTAATATTTACATTTTCGTGTGATGTAAAATAAGATCAATGTCTTAACAATTGATTATCCTTAGAAATTGTTCCAAAAGGTGGAGAATAACCTTACAAATGGAAAAATAACGGAATGAAAACGTTATATTTCATACATACAACTACAACACTCTCTCCTTTCTCCCATACAAATCACAAATTTGATAGAATCTTTCGAATTTTAACGCGTAACCAAAACATTCGTATCATTTCGTTTCTCCGTTTACCCCTTTCCTTCCTTCCTTCCTTCCTTTAGCTTTTACCTTTTCCACTTTTACGCACTTTTTATTTTACACGCGTAAATTCATATTATTACCCCACACGAAGCCGCACACGCGTGTATAAACGGCCACAAACATATCATTGATCTCCGCATCGACTACAGTCGTTCTTGTGAAACGAATAAGAAGCGTGAATACGTTTTAGGAATAGGATTTGTAAACAAGTCGTTTGCGAAATCGAGACGTTGGATCGAGTGAATCGCGAGCGGGAGCATCGATTGCGATGGTTAACCATACGGTATGTATTACTTTTCTGTCGCGATCGAGTTGGTGGACAAGTTGGTGATCACCACGGATGTTGACCGCGTTTTGTTCACGACTGTACCGGCAGAAATAGCGGCCCGCCGCGCCGATAGGATCGTATGTGATTTCGTTACAGCGTGAATTATACATACTCGTTACATTCACGAGAAACGCA